AGGAACCATTTATCTAATCCTCTCTCCGATCTTTGCCACGGATGAAAGGGCTTGTGGCTCCTGAAGGTGGTGGGGGTTGTGTTGATGCTCCCCCTCCACCCCCCCACCACCGCCGCCACCACCACCACCACCACCACCACTACCACCACCACCACCACCACTACCACCACCACCACCACCACCACCACCACCACTACCCTTCTCCCTTTCTCCTCTCCTTTCTCCAGGAACAGGGCCCCACCCACCAGAAACCCCCCAGGACCCCCCCAGGACCTCCCCAGAACCCCCAGGACCCCTCGAACCCCACACACAACCTCTTACCTCAAAACTTTGTATCAGGAAGAAGGAGGTTTGAAATACCCCTTGAAAAATACCTAACGTAACCTAACCTAACCAAACGTAACCTAACCTAAACTCTTACCTTCTGTCACAAAATTCTAATGACAAGATTGATTTAAAGTTCGTGAAGAGCCAATTAGGGATTAATGAAGCTGCCCATGACCACAGTGAGGGGAGGGCAGGAGAGGAAGGGAAAGGGGGGGGAGAGGGGAGTTCCACCCTCTCTCTCTCTCTACATATTTCCCATCCTATCATTCCACCTCTCTCATCATCTCTCATAATCTCTTCTCATCTCTCATCACCATCTCATTATATTTATCATTATGTCTCACTAACTCTCTCCACCATCACACCACTATATCTCATTACCTCTCACTATCTCTCAGTGTCTCTATCAATCTCTCTCACCATCTGTCATTACCTCTCACTATCTCTCACCATCTCTCACCATCTCTCACTTCTCTCTTCTCTCACCTCAACCATTCCCTCCCATTAAAAGAAGAAGCGAATCTCTTCATAAATTCTGCATATAATAAAAAAACAAATAAATTCCTCACTGGATATTAATAATTTCTGTGGACCCAAATTTACCTCCTAAAAAAATTCTCCTTCCATGATCTAATTCCCTCTTGGGTCTTCAGGTTAATTTCCAAACACACACAGACACAGACACACACACACACACACAGACAAACACACACACAGACAAACGCACACATACAAACCCAATAACCAGAAGGGGAATATTTACACCAAACATTCATTACCATCAAAGGACAATTTTTCTGTCGTAAGTTAAAAAAAATTACCTTTAAGAGAAAATCCTGTGAGACACCTAAGATTCTGAGAGAGAAGAAGAAGAAGAAGAAGAAGAAGAAGAAGAAGAAGAAGAAGAAGAACCTAACCTAACCTAACCTAACCTAACCTAACCTAACCTTACCCAAACCAAAATAGAGTTGTGGTGTCGGAGTGGTTAAAAACACTCGCCTTTAATTCACAGTGTCGATGGCTCAATCCCTAGGTTAGACCCATAGTCCATCCAGCTGTCGATGGGTACCTAACTAAACAGATGAGGAAATGAAGGAGGTCTAGTGCAGTGAATGAGATGATGTTTCTCTCTGCCTCAAGTGAGAGAAGTGAGAGAAGGTAGGAAAGCTACTGAGGCACTGTAAAGATTGCTTAGTTTCGTCTTCAGTTCGTTAAGGCAGTGAGAGGTCTTAGTCTGGCAAAAATTAACACCGGCTTCTAATATTGCATCTCTATGTAGATTGTGGAATATTGGGCTGAGGTGATGAGGGTGGGGGGGTGGGGGGTAGGGAAAGGTGGAAGGTGAGGGAGGTGGGGAGATTGGGGGGGGTGGAAGAAGGTGGTGGTGGGGGAGGGATGGTGGGGATGTTGAGGGAGGTTAGTGAGGGGGAGAGGTGTTAAGGTGGGGTGGGAGGAGTGTTGAGGGAGGTGTAGAAGGAAGGGGTGGGGGGAGATGTTGAGGGGAAGGGTAGAGATTGACTCTCACCTCTTTCAACTCATTCCTTTGTCTACCTCCTAACTCTCACTCTCACTCTCCCTCTCCCTCACCCCCCCTTCCCCCTCTCCCCCAATCCAACACCCTGAGGGGTAACACCTGTTGATGATTAATTAACTCCACTAATTACCCAGGGTAAGGGCATCAGGTGTTTCATACCCCAGAGGCCCTTATTCCCAGTGTATGTCTAACCTAACCTATCCTAACCTAATCTAACCTAACCTATCCTAACCTAATCTATCCTAACCTAACCACCTCACCCAACCACAACACACCGGGCGTCAGCTGCTTGCCGTACACACACCCGGTTCTCAATCCCCACAACTCACACCTATACAGCACCTGTTCTGGTAGCTCCTCGGCAGATTCTGTAGCCGGCAGCTGTTTGCAGAGCTCTCTTAGCCACCACGTCTTAAATGCCTTCTCGTCTTGGGTAGTTGAAGGGTGTGGTAGGTTGACAGGGTGTACTAAGGTCTGCACTGGAGAGGTGGTGAGGGTCAGGGTGTGTGGTGTCTGTTAGGCCCTGACCTGCTCTGCCTCTCACCACACTGACGCCTCACACGTTGGCTGTGATAAAGACCAATCACACAAAGTTCAAAGTTTCAAATCTCAGAAACAACTCAGTCCCGAATGTTATGTTCCCAACCTTATTTAACCCAAATCATCACATTTTTATTGGAGAGACAATCGATGTAAGTTCAAGTCTTAACAATAACGTAACGTAACGTAACGTAACGTAACGTAACGTAACGTAACATTCCTAATTGCCACTGATGAAGAAAATAAGAATATAAGAGAAATGAGTTACTAAAGTTTCCTCCTACAAGTCTCTCAGTGAGGTAAGTCTCTCAGTGAGGTAAGTCTCTCAGTGAGGTAAGTCTCTCAGTGAGGTAAGTCTCTCAGTGAGGTAAGTCTCTCAGTGAGGTAAGTCTCTCAGTGAGGTAAGTCTCTCAGTGAGGTAAGTCTCTCAGTGAGGTAAGTCTCTCACTGAGGTAAGTCTCTCAGTGAGGTAAGTCTCTCAGTGAGGTAAGTCTCTCAGTGAGGTAAGTCTCTCAGTGAGGTAAGTCTCTCAGTGAGGTAAGTCTCTCACTGAGGTAAGTCTCTCAGTGAGGTAAGTCTCTCAGTGAGGTAAGTCTCTCAGTGAGGTAAGTCTCTCAGTGAGGTAAGTCTCTCAGTGAGGTAAGTCTCTCAGTGAGGTAAGTCTCTCACTGAGGTAAGTCTCTCACTGAGGTAAGTCTCTCACTGAGGTAATGGACGTAGACCCAACACTTCACATCAACTCCCTAATTAATGCAGTGATATGCAAATGAGTCGTTAATTCAACCCTTTTGTGACCATAACTTAATTATTGTATATAAGACAGACAACCACTTATGTTATTAACTTTACTACACGATATACATAACTTTTCCCTAACCTAACCTAACCTAACCTAACATCTCTCTCTCTCTCTCTCTCTCTCTCTCTCACCTGCATCTCTCATTAGCCAAGACCTCACCTGGACACTCGCTCCTAATTAGTGACCTTTCATAAGTTATAATCTTCCAATTTTTGTCGTTAATTATCAGGTAAGTCCCTTAACATCTTGAAAAATTTATTAGTATTTTTTTATCTGTGTGTGTGGGGGGGAGGTGTGGGGCGGGGAGGTGTGGGGGAGGTGTGTGTGTAGGGGTCTGAGGGATGTTGGGAAGGAGATGTGTGTGTGTCTCACCTGTACTGACGATTAAAGGTGATCAAAGTACACCTGAACTCTTTGGCCCCACAGGTGAACGACTCTCTCTCTCTCTCTCTACACAGGTAAGATAACACGATCGATCACTACCTGACACAAGATAACCTCTAACACCCATTCCCTATTCATCTCCCCTTCCTCCCTTACCTATCTTTGTACCTATGTGTGTGTGTGTGTCCCCTGTGTGTCCTCCTGTATCCGTGTATCTATCTCCCTATCCATCTATGCGTGTGTGTGTGTGTGTGTGTGTGGTGTGTGTGTGTGTGTGAGTGTGTGTGTGTGGGGGTGTGTGTGAGATTTAAATGACCGTGGCAATCTGAGGGGTTATAATGGCACTCATCTGGCAGTAGGGAGGGGAGGAGGGCCACAGGATGTTTTATTTTAATGTCCATGTGTGTGTGTGTGTGTGTGTGTGTGTGTGTGTGTGTGTGTATTGCTTATCAGGTAATTCCCACTACCACAATGACGTCACATGTTTATCTGTCACTCTAGTCAGTAAGAAAGAGTATTACAAATATAACTGAGGTATTCCATTCACCTTTTGTTTATCGGTTTATTCTAATTAATTAAGGTATTTCTTGTATAAATGTATATTGTATTTTATTAATTAATTCATTCGTTTTGTGTGTCTGTCTTTCTATATTCAGCCTATCGATTAATTATTTATTTACATATTTATATTTAATCTATTTATTTAATCTTTGAGTCTTATTATACTAAAACTAATTAAGATAAAAATTAATAACTTTCTCAGAATATAATTATAGAAATAAAAAAAATTAATTAATCCTTCAGTCAGATTATGTAAAAAATTAATTAAGTTTCAGTCAGATTTTACATGAAAAATAATAAATAGTACAAATCAATTAATAAAATCCAGTGACGTGAAAATGTGAAGAAAACAAATATTGAAACAACTTTTAGACAAGATTGTAATATATTCAGTGGCGACAGGATCCCTTCCTCTGAAAACGCAACAATTTCACCAGTGTGTGTTACCGGTGTTGATATATGGATGATGGGAAAGACTACGATGGATGATGGATGAGAAGACTATGTGGCACACGACTTGTCACAGGTAAAGTAATTAGTAGAGGACAGGTAAAGACACTCGAAATTGGGAGGCAATACGAACAGGTAAGGGAGAGAGAGAGAGAGACACTGTACACTTTATCACCGCCTCACACACACATTGTACTCCCCATTTAATTTAACCCACAAACCTTCCCACCAAAACGCCTATTGTTGTTACGATAAGATTAAATCATCTGGTTGGGTGTTTGTGTTCAGAGAGTCAGCTGATCGGATGTTTATTTACGTTTAATCAGCTGTTAGGGTGTTTGTTTACATTGTGTCAGCTGATAGGGCGGATTAATCTGGTCATCTCTCGACTATATTAAGTTCGACAGTGGTAAAGGTTTGTGCATTACGCTCCTGAATGGTCTTGTGAACAGGTCTTGTGAACAGGTCTTGTGAACAGGTCAACTTTCATCTCTCGTTTGAACAACGTTTGTGAGTAGTGTGTGTTTGTGCCTTCACTATTATCTTACAGTATCTCTCACCATAATGCATATAATGTATAATGAAGAATCTCTCATGAAACGCGTATAGAGTGAATTATCTCCCATATAGCGTATATATATAGCGTATATACGCGTATACTTAATAAAGGAAGGCTGTACTTACATAGCCTGTATGAAGTGTCTATGATTTTTAAGTACGATAACAAATTAGTTTTATTAAGATTTTTTTTAGTAAAGTAACTTATGCTTAAATGTGTAAAGTAAGTACAGGTGTAGTGTGTCATCCTCACAGGTGTAGTGATGAGGTGGGTGGCTTTGGCGTTGTTGGTGGGCGTGGTGGGTGTAGTGGCCGGGATCCCCTACGTCCACAATGTTGATAGCGGCGAGGGTGAAGTGTGGGCGGTTTTGGTGGCTGGGTCGTATTCCTGGATGAATTACCGCCACCAGGTGAGTCTTTTGGTCTCGCTAGGTAAAGGTGTGTGAGTTATGGTGATATTTTGTGTATATATGAGTCTTAACATTGAGGTACACACACACACACACACATAAAGTGATGTATAACACTCTCTTACTCTCACAGGCAGATGTGTGTCACGCCTACCAGATCTTACATCAACACGGTGTTGCTGACGACCACATCATTGTTATGATGTATGACGACATCGCCAACAGCAAGGAGTGAGTGAGAGAGAGAGAAGAGAGAGAGAGAGAGAGAGAGAGAGAGAGAGAGAGAGAGAGAGAGAGCATAGGAGTATTGAGTATAGGAGTTAACACTTAGAGATAATGCAACACTTCTCATTCCCCATAAAATTTGTTAATGCATCAGTAGCTTCAGCCATGCACATCCTCTCTCTCTCTCTCTCTCTTAGTACAAAACAAACCTAACCCCATCACCACCACACTTTAACCTCCCCCGTCACCCTCTCCCACAGGAACCCTCACCCTGGACAGATCATCAACCGTCCTGGAGGTCCTAACGTGTATCCTGGCGTCCCTAAGGATTACACCGGCGCCAACGTCAACCTAGACAACTTTCTGAAGGTGCTGAAGGGTGACTCTGAGGGCCTGAAGGGTGTAGGATCCGGTAAAGTCCTTAAAAGTGGTCCCAATGATAGGGTGTTTATCAATCTAGTCGATCATGGCGCCCCAGGACTCTTTGCTCTCATTGGTGATATCCTCACCACCACCAACCTGACCGATGCTATCTTGTCCATGCATCATAATAAGCAGTACAAAGAGGTGAGTTCCTGGGTCCTTCTCTGTTTATATAAGTGTAAATATTCGTTTTTTGTTTATATGGACTGCTTATACATAAACAAGATATATATGAACTCTATTACTTATATACCCAAGTCAACATATTAGTATTAAAAAAGTAGACTTATAACTCATACTTATTACTAAATGTTTACTTATTTATCTCACCTCAGCTGACCTTGTACGTTGAGTCCTGTGAGTCAGGTTCACTCTTCCAAAAGTTGCCTCATGATATTAATGGTGAGTCTTAATGTTGTGTTGTGGTCCTTTATGTGAGTTACCCCGCCATGTGATACTATAGTGATGATGTTATTACTACTACTACTACTAATACTACTACTATCCTTCCACCACTTACTCCCTTACCTCCCCTTGCTGAGCCTACTAACACCCTACCGTCATCACCACAGTATACGCCGTGTCAGCCTCGAATGCCACTGAAAGTTCCTACGCCTGCTACTTTGAGGCTGAGCTGAAGACCTTCTTGGGTGACGTCTTCAGTATTAAGTGGATGGAGGATACTGACAGGGTGAGTAGGAGAGAGAGAGAGAGAGAGAGAGAGAGGTAAAAAAACATCACTCATCACAAACCGTCTCGACCTTACAGGAGAACGTGGCGAAGGAGACCCTGAAGAAGCAATACCATGTGGTGGAGAGTGAGACGAAGACCTCACACGTCCTCCAGTGGGGACAGATATCCATCGACACAGAGAAGGTCGGGGCGTTCGTGGGGAGCTACAAGACAGGCGGTGATGGGGGTGACGTGTATGGCCCCTTCCCTCCCATCGCCGACCCATGCTTGGTGAGTTGATGGGCCACAGGGGGGTAATTTAGGACTGGGGGGTCTATTTGGATGGGGTCTATTAGGACTGGGATCTATTCAAACTGGGGTCTATTAGGACTGGGGTCTGTTTGAACTTGGGTTTATTAGGACTGGGGTCTATTAGGACTGGGGTCAATTAGATGGGGGCCTATTTGGATGGGGGTCTATTAGGACTGGATCTATTCAAACTGGGGTCTATTTGACTGGGGGTAGACTGGGGCCCATTAGGACTGGGGTCTATTTGGACTGGGGCCCTTATTAGGACTGGGGGTCTATTAGGACTGGGGTCTATTAGGAACAGATTGGGGGTCTATTTGGACTGGGGTCTATTAGGACTGGGATCTATTCAAACTGGGGTCTATTAGACTGGGATCTATTCAAACTGGGGTCTATTAGGACTGGACTATTCAAACTGGGGTCTATTAGGACTGGGGTCTATTTGGACTGGGGTCTATTAGGACTGGGATCTATTCAAACTGGGGTCTATTAGGACTGGGATCTATTCAAACTGGGGTCTATTAGGACTGGGATCTATTCAAACTGGGGTCTATTAGGACTGGGATCTATTAGGACTTGGACCCTACGAGGATTTGGGTCTATTACAACTGGAACCCAATTAGGAGCCAATTAACTTGCATATATCTCACTCCATCATCCATCAACCTTCCCTCTCCTTCAGAAATCATCCATCACCAGCCCAGACGTCCCCCTCGCCCTCATCCAGACGCACATCCAAGACTCTCAGGGCCTGATTGGCTCCACCTTCTGGCACCAGGAGATGGATGAACTCAAGAAGGTGGGTGACTCTTATTTGTGAGTGTGTGGATGAGCTTAGAGACGTGGATGAGTGTTTTTGTGTGTGGATGAGCTTAGAGATGTGGATGAGTGTTTTTGTGGATGACTTTAGGGGGTTGGATGATTTATTATTATTATTATTATTATTATTATTATTATTATTATTATTATATTTTTTATTTATTATTATTATTATTATTATTATTATTTCTACTACTACTACTTTTTTTACTACTGCTACCACTACTACTACTACTACTACTACTAATACTACTACCACCACTACTGCTACAACCACCAACACTCACTTCCTCTCTCTCTCTCTCTCTCTCGCAGAATCGTACCTTCGTCAGAGACACAATGCAGAAGATTATCCAGCAGGTGACCCGAGATACTGAGGTGACGACTAGGTTAATGACTGACCACCACAATGTGATCTTTAACCACGAGTGTTATGAGTCCAGTGTTATGACCTTCCATAACCTCTGCTTTAACCTGGGTCACGTAAGTCTCTCAATTTAGATTTTTTTAATGATTTTGTAGTTTTTTTGTATATTTTGATTGATTTGTGGATAATTTCTTTAGTGTTTATGAATAATTTTACGGATAATTTCTTTATTATGGATAATTTTAGGGATAAATTTATTTTATTTATTCATTTTTGGATAATTTGGGGGGGGGGGATAATTTCATTATCTGTTTATCTGGTATAATTTATTGTTTATTTATTGGATAACCTGTCGAGTAATTTCTCACCTGCTTCTTGGATAATTACACACACACACACCTGTTCGGGTTCTACGAGGTTCAATTAAAAAAAATGTATCCATTTCTTATACTCTCAGAACTGAACCCCCCAAAATGGTTCTAAAATACACGTTCTTTTCATGTATTAGAACCCTCACATAACACTGGTTCTAAATTGTGTTCTTTTCTTTTATTTCTCCCCAAAACAGAACCCTTACGCCTTGAGGGTAGTCTACGCTTTAGTGAACCTTTGTGAACACGGATACACTGCCCAGGAGTTCACTTGCTCAGCCCGGGCCGTGTGTGACTTTGAACCTGTCATCGGTATCAATTAGAAGCTGTTGGTGAATGAAGAAAACCTCAGTGAAGAAAGAAGGAATATAACAGTAGAAAATGAAGAAAAAACAGTGAAGAAAGAAGGAATATAACAGTAGAAAATGAAGTAAAACAGTGAAGAAAGAAGGAATATAACAGTAGAAAATGAAGAAAACACTGAAGAAAGAAGGAATATAACAGTAGAAAATGAAGTAAAAAACAGTGAAGAAAGAGGAATATAACAGTAGAAAATGAAGAAAAAAACAGGAAGAAAGAAGGAATATAACAGTAGAAAATGAAGAAACAGTGAAGAAAGAAGGAATATAACAGTAGAAAATGGAAGTAAAAACAGTGAAAAGAAGGAATATAACAGTAGAAAAATGAAGAAAACCTCAGTGAAGAAAGAAGGAATATAACAGTAGAAAATGAAGAAAAAACAGTGAAGAAAGAAGGAATATAACAGTAGAAAATGAAGTAAAACACTGAAGAAAGAAGGAATATAACAGTAGAAAATGAAGGAAAAACAGTGAAGAAAGAAGGAATATAACAGTAGAAAATGAAGAAAAAACACTGAAGAAAGAAGGAATATAACAGTAGAAAATGAAGAAAAAAACAGAGAAGAAAGAAGGAATATAACAGTAGAAAATGAAGAAAAAAACAGAGAAGAAAGAAGGAATATAACAGTAGAAAATGAAGAAAATATAACAGTAGAAAATGAAGAAAAAACAGTGAAGAAAGAAGGAATATAACAGTAGAAAATGAAGTAAAAACACTGAAGAAAGAAGGAATATAACAGTAGAAAATGAAGTAAAAACAGTGAAGAAAGAAGGAATATAACAGTAGAAAATGAAGTAAAAACAGTGAAGAAAGAAGGAATATAACAGTAGAAAATGAAGAAAAAACAGTGAAGAAAGAAGGAATATAACAGTAGAAAATGAAGAAAAAACAGTGAAGAAAGAAGGAATATAACAGTAGAAAATGAAGTAAAAACACTGAAGAAAGAAGGAATATAACAGTAGAAAATGAAGAAAAAACAGTGAAGAAAGAAGTAAAAACACTCAATGAAGAAAATTTGGTGAAGGGAAACATGAGGAAGAAAATCCCATTCAAGTAAATCCCACTGAAGTAAATCCCACTGAAGTAAATCCCACTGAAGTAAATCCCACTGAAGTAAATCCCACTGAAGGAAATCCCCAAAGATCACTTATTTGTTTGTTTGTTTGTAATAGTAATTTTTTCAGCTTAGGTTTGGTGACTATTAATCCTAATGGGCTCCCAGTTCTAATAGGTCCCAGTTCTAATAGGCCCCAGTTCTAATAGGCCCCAGTTCTATCATGCCCTAGTTCTAATAGGCCCTTAATGGACTGGGGCCTATTAGAACTGTGATCCATTTAGACTGGGACCTATTTGGACTGGGGCCTACTTGAGCTATTAACAGAAGACTGAGTAAAAAATTATACCCACAAATTATTTTAAAATAATTAATTACATTCCATTATTGATTTTTTTGTGAATTATAAGCTTTCTATCAAATGTTTATATTTAAGGTATAACTTTTTAATTGTCTAACAAAAAAACTATGAACTAAAATTACAAAAAATAAAAAAATTGATTCAAAATTAGTTCATAAATTTTTAACTTTTTGGCAATTTTTTTTTTCACTCACCAATCATGTTTTTGTGATGTGACAAAGTAATAAAAGTCTTAATTAACCTTAAGTGTATTTTATTATCATATTTTATTGAGACTATTGGACTTATAAATTTGATCTTAATGTATATGAATGAAAGTATAAAAATTAGTTAAGTTCATTATATAAATTCACAATAAAAATCACAAATTTCTCTCTGTGTAATCCTTCTCTATTTTCATTCTTCTTTCTTCTTATCGTCTCTTTCTTCTTCTTGTTATTTTTCTTCTATTCTTTGTTTTCTTCATGTATCTCTCACTCCCTCTCACTATCTCACCTCTATCTCCCACTCCCTCCCACTATCTCACCCCTATCTCTCACTCCCTCTCACTCTCTCACCTCTATCTCCCACACCCTCCCACTATCTCACCCCTATCTCTCACTCCCTCTCACTATCTCACCTCTATCTCTCACTCCCTCTCACTATCTCACCTCTATCTCCCACTCCCTCCCACTATCTCACCCCTATCTCTCACTCCCTCTCACTCTCTCACCTCTATCTCCCACACCCTCCCACTATCTCACCCCTATCTCTCACTCCCTCTCACTATCTCACCTCTATCTCCCACTCCCTCTCACTATCTCACCTCTATCTCCCACTCCCTCTCACTCTCTCACCTCTATCTCCCACTCCCTCTCACTATCTCACCCCTATCTCTCACTATCTCCCAGGGGGCCTCAGATTATGCCTGTGTATGCCTGATGGGTACACACACTCCGGGTAGCTTGGTCCACCTGGTCGGCTGTGTACCCGTGTTCACACAGGTTCACTAAGTTCTTCAACACCCGTAGCGCGTAGGTGTTCTGGAAGGCAAGTGAGTGGTCAAGTTAGGTCAGGTGAAGATGGAGGGTGGGGTGGGGTTGGGTGGGTGAGGTTGGGTGGGTGGGGTGTGGGTGTATCTTAACTAGCTCACTTACCTGAACTAATTAGATTGGAATTACAGGTAAATTACGGATCTTTACCCCACAAAAAAAAAAAAATCGATATACCTGAACTAAATCGAGCCAACATGGGATATTTTTTTTACAGACATTAAAAAAAAATCGATTTACCTGGGCAATATCGAAGCACCTGGCGTGAAAACTTCTGACGGAGGCGAGGTAGCAGTCCCACCTAGTTATATCGTGTTGGTGGTTCCTCCTGATGATCTTGGACAACATCTCCTCGTCGTTTACTACTTCTTCTATCAGTCGGTGCATAAGAGTCTTTACCAAGGCGCGGTTCTGAGGAGGGAAGGAGGGAAGGAGGGAAGGAAGGAAGGAAGGAAGGAAGGTATTAGTTGTGGCGGTGATAGTTTGGGTATATGGATTTTCTTTCTTTCTTTCCTTTCTTTCTTTCTTTCTTTCTTTCTCACGCCAGGATCAAATAGAAAATTATAAGATCTCTCACTTTCTCTCTCTCTCTCTCACTTTCTCTCTCTCTCACTCTCTCTCTCACTAAGACTCACCAGCTGAACGGAGTGTAACTGAGTCTTCCAGTATTGAGCCTCAGTTGTTGTGTTGGCTCTCTGTACACGGGACTGTAGGAGGGCGAGTGGCACGTCATGACTGGCGACTGACGTGTTCTGGGGAGAAGGGGGAAGATGATGAGGGAGACGAGGAGGAGGAAGACATGAGGAGGAGGAGGAGGAGGAGAAGGAAGGCGAGCAGGAGGGAGGAGGAGGGAGGAGGGAGGAGGAGGAGGAGGAGGAGGAGGACATGAGGAGGAGGAGGAGGAGGGAGAAGGGAAGGCGAGCAGGAGGAGGAGGGAGGAAAGAGGAGGAGGAGGAGGAGGAGGAGGAGGAGGAGGGAGGGAGGAGGAGGAGGAGGAGGAGGAGGAGGACATGAGGAGGAGGAGGAGGAGGAGAAGGAAGGCGAGCAGGAGGGAGGAGGAGGAGGAGAAGAGGAGGAAGGAAGGAGGAGGAGGAGGGAGGAGAGTAGGAGGAGGGAGGAAGAGGAGGAGGAGGAGACGACGAGGAGGGAGAAAACGACGAGGAGGAGGAGACTTGACGAGGAGAAGAAAGAGACGACTGTGAGGAGAAGGAAGGCAAGCAGGAGGAGGGCATTGAGGAGGAGGGAAGGAAAGAGGAGGAGGAAGGAAGAGGAGAGGAGGAGAAGTAGGACCTGACCTAACCTAACCTATATGCTGACGGTTCTAATTATGGTGTTGTGTGTTTATATCAGAACCTGTAATAAACACAGGTAAATTAATTAACTCCTTGTGTACCTGGTCTTTGCTTTGAGCTGCATAAAACATTCAGGTATTAGCCAAATAAAATATACAAAATCGCGTCTCAGTAGTGAAGATGTTTTGAGAGAGAGAGAGAGAGAGAGAGAGAGAGAGAGAAATAGATAGATAGATAGATAGATAGATAGATAGATAGATAGATAGATAATAACCAAAACAGTAAAAAAAAATCCTTACCACACAAGGGTCGAATCTGTTCGGTGAGGTGGAGTAGCGAGAGTTGTATTTGGAGCCGTGGTTGCTGGGGAGGTTGACGTGGTTGCTGTGGAGGTTGATGGGGTTGTTATGGTCGAGAATTGGGTTATTCTTACTACCAAGGAACCGGGAAAGTTTCTGTCCGGCTAACTTCAGTTGGCCCCAGTGCATGACATCAGACGTGGTCACTTCATGATGAACCAACAGGAACTGATTCTTGAGTGTTTCTCTGTGTATATTCTCCTGTAAGGGGGCGAGAAAGTGGTGGTCTCATGGCTAATTACCACTTATTGCATTAAAAGTTTCTCATACCACTTAACCCTGATATCTAAATGGTCTCTTGGCATTTATCCCGATAAGTAAAGGATCTTCTACCACTTACCCCGACAACTAAGGGACCACCTACCACTTACCCCAACAACTAAATAACCTTCTACCACTTACCCCAACAACTAAGGAACCTCATATAACTTACCTCCTACCACTTATTCCGACAATTAAGGGACCACCTACCACTTACCCCAATAACTAAGGAACCTCATATCACTTACCTCCTACCACTTACTCGGACAATTAAGGGACCACCTACGACTTACCCTGTCAGTATCCTCCATCCACTTAATACTGAAGACATCTCCCAGGTAGGTGTCGAGTTCATCGTCTAAATAACACGCGTAGGAGGATTCTTTAGGTGAGGAGGCACTTACTGCGTATACTGTGTGAGAGAGAGGGGGGTGAGGTGAGATAAGAGAGAGAGAGAGAGAGAGAGAGAGAGAGAGAGAGAGAGAGAGAGAGAGAGAGAGAGAGAGAGAGAGAGAGAGAGAGAGAGAGAGAGAGTATAACAGGGGCAGGAAAAACACTCAAAATACCCTCGAGTGCGATGACTTAACGACCAGAGTACTCAGAGGAATAAGTCATCACCTTCAGTGTCATAGCCATGGGGAACAAGAACCATCTCCAACACCCTGTAGGGAAGGAGTGGCCCTAAGCACCTGGGAAAGACGGCTAGCCAAACCGTAGAAAGGACTTTGTTGGCGCCAATATCAGGTTACAAGACTGTTTATAAGCACCAGATCTATAGTTTATCTACATGTTGACTCTTATCTCTTTGTACTGAAATGTTTTGTCAATAAAGTAACCAACTCCCCAATTTCGCCATATGTAACCTATTAGGTCTGTTTATTGTATATTTTCAGCTTTCTGGCTGCCATGCTATGTTAATAAACCGTTAATTATTATTATACATACATATGCAAACAGGCTGTACACATTTCCAAACACAAACGTTAGATTTCATGCATTTAACAGCCCATTGAACATAACAACATAAGGTTGGAGGAAACAGCGGCGGGCCTATTGGTCCATACTGGACAGTCCCGTTTACACCCAGCCCCTATTGCTCATATATCCATCCAACCTATGTTTGAAGTTATCCAGCGTGTTCGAGTTAATAATGATGTTTGGTAACTTGTTCCACTCATCCACTACTCTATTTCCAAACCAATGTTTACCTATCTCGCGCCTAACTTAACCTGCCCAAACTAACTTTACCAAACTTAACCTAACGTAACATAACCTAACCAAAGCTAACCTAACCTAACTTAAGCTAACCTTACCTTCAATATCATCAGGTAACATTCTTTGGAAGAGTGACCCGGACTCACACGATTCGACGTACACCACCATCTGTAAACCACCAGAGGCGCTCGTCAGGTGAGGTCAGGGAGAGAGAACACCTGGCTGATGAACCTGAGGATCTGGACTTGAGATGGACTCGCTAGAGGGGAACTGGACTTGAACTGGACTCTTTTATAAGCCATATATGGGAGTTGGATTTGATATGAATTGACTAGAGAAGAAATGGACTCACTCATATCACCTAGAAGAGGTGGATTAAAGTAATGGACTCAATCTTAATATTGTAATTGTTAGAACTTATGGACTCAACGTGGACTCACCTGCCTGTACCTGTGTTCCTGGTGCATTTTGAGGAAGGTATTGGACAGGGCAGTCGCGCTCAGGTATTCAGCCGGGAAAGCGAAGATCCCAGGGGCCCCGTGGTCGACCATGTTGATGAAGACCCTATCATTTGGACCACTGCGAAGGACCCTGCCGGAACCCACGCCCCTTAGGCCTTCAGCGTCTCCTCTCAACACCTTCAGGAAGTTCTGTGGGGTGACGTCCTTGCCAGTGTAATCCTTAGGGACGCCAGTATACACGTTAGGACCTCCTGGGCGGTTGATGATCACACCAGGGTGGGGGTTCCTGTGGGAGAGATCCTTCATATTTTAGGGCTCCTTAGTGGTCCTTGTGAGCAGGAGTCTCAGCCCCAAGTGTTGATATTATGTTGTTTCTCTGAACTGTATTTATAACTGTAGCTGTACCTGTGTATGTACGACAGGTAGACACTGTACTCAATGGTCGACCTACACACACTAACTGGTCGACAGGTGATACTCACATTGAATTGTTGGCGATGTCGTCATACATCATAACAATGATGTGGTCGTCAGCAACACCGTGTTGATGTAAGATCTGGTAGGCGTGACACACATCTGCCTGTGAGAGTAAGAGAGTGTTATACATCACTTTATGTGTGTGTGTGTGTGTGTGTGTGGTGCTACTACAGTCTCCGGACAACAGAGCTAGATGTGGTCTTCGGATATTTACACTGTAGCGTCTATCAACACAACCTAACCTAATATACCGGTAGACACAACCTCAGCTCGGTAGACCGCATACTATAGAAGCAGCTAACTTTTACTGTTGATTTTCACTAATCATCTGTACTCTGACCTCAAGAAGAGACAGTGACCCATGACTGACCTGTGTTCATCACCTGATGGTTTGTATAATCAATATCAAACTAACCTGGTGACCTATGACCCCAACATGACCTGGGACACAAACTAACCTGGTGACGATAGTTGAACCAGGAACTAGACCAACTACGAGAACTGCCCATATTCCGTACCTGTCCTCCTCTACCTTCTTCAGTATCTCCTCCACCTCCTGTAGAGGGTCCTCACTCTCCTCTCCTCCTCTTTCACCGCTGCCGTCACCACCATCACCGTCATCAGCAGTAGTAAAGCCTTCATGGTGACTCCTGATGGGGAGAGAGAGATGGGTTGAGTGGTGATGGGGAAACGATGGGGAGACTATGGGAGGAGTTACGTGATCACTCTAAAGGGAGGTGAGTGGGGAGGAGGGTATGGGGGAAGAATGGGGGAGGAGATGAGGAAGAGAGAGAGGATGATGACGTGGGACGGAAGGATGAGGGTTGATGTGAGGAGAGAAGAAAGAAAAATGTGATGAAGGAGGGGGAGGAAAAAAAGAGGATGGGGGGGTTGATGGTGGGTGAGGAAGAAAGGGGGGGAGGATAACAGATCATGAGAATGGAAGGAAGGGGGAGAGGGTAAAGAGCAAAGAGGGGTAAGGGGGTAAGGAGGAATGAGAGGGAAGGAGGGGGGTAAGGAGGAATGAGAGGAAGGGGGGTAAGGAGGAATAAGAGGGAGGAGGGGAGGAGGAGATGGAGGATGACAGGTGAGGAGGGGAAGGGGATATACACTAACAAGGTCACTCCAGTGTAGGAAGGGGGGCTGACCAAACACGCGATGGCGCCGCAGTTCTCAACCAGTTTAGAATTGGTTTTTTTTATAAATTAGAGAGAAGAGAGAGAGACCATGAATAAGCAGAACACATTAAAGTAAACATCCGCTTTTCACGTTTAGTCAGACAACATCCACTTGACATCCACATTAGATAACCCAAATATCACCCACTTCCCTTAGGCTCTTTTATCCACTTATACCCACTTGGTTAGATCAGATTAAAGTATATTACAGTAGGTCAGATTAACGATAGGTTAGGTGGATGTAGGTTAGCATAGGTTAGGGCGAGTTAGATTAGGTTAGGATAGGTTAGATTAGGTTAAAGTATATTACAGTAGGTCAGATTAGCGTTAGGAAGGTGGAGTTAGGTTAGGTTACGTTAGATTGAGTTGGGTTAGCTTAGGTTAGGATAATTTAGTTAAAGTGAAATAATATAGATGGGGTCTAATCATCACGTGACCCGTAAAACAGTGACCACGCAGCACAAAACCTGGTGTTGGCTTCTGTAATCACTTAAATCAACATTCTCATCAGCTAGGGGATGTTAAACAACCCTTGACTATGAATGATGAGAAAACACACCTGTAATGTTGTTAAGTTCACCTGGGTTGTTGTAGAGCCCATCACTAAACCATAACAAAAGCCCGTTATCAATCTGTTTATGTCTCCATCTCACACCAAAACAGACGACAAACACAGAGACATATTTTACCTCCCACACTGTCTTGCACTTACCTCTCTTTAGTAACACACAATGATGAGGTTTAGGCCGGTAGAGATGCACAACACAGGACAGATTTTAGGCCGTGAACTGCACTGATGAGGTCGTGTATGCAGAGAGACAGACAGCAGCGGCCGGACTCCAGTATAAACCCCACTGGTCCCAGAGGTCTGCCCTCCGGTACTCAACCCCCCCCCCCACCACCTCAGTTGCCAGCCGTCACGAGATATTTCAGTTAACACTATCTCTAGTAACTCATATCTCACACTGATTGCGTTCTTCTACATCTTAATGAGGCTTATGACCTCTATCATAAGTTACTCGGTCAGGAGTACACTGAGTCTTATAAAACAAAGTCTTATCGTTAACTGAGAAACTCGTGATCTCACCTTCAGAAATACTCGCTGGTGACTTTCAATTTGTCACAATGTTTCGGTCATATGTTTGGAAGATGTGTTTTTAATTGTTTGATTTTGAGTCACCATTTGTTTGGTTTGTTAGAGTATAGGCAGAGAGCTTTGTTTACGAGAGCGAGGAGAAACATGACTCTGCCTCTCTCTCTCCAGGTACAATACACTGCAGGTGAACGGAATAAATTCTCAAGGTTTCGTCTTTATTTTTCTTTCATTAAGTTGTTTGAGTAATGATCTAAAACTTATATCGTCACCACACAAATACACCCGAAGATTATAACCCTCCATATTATTCAACATGCTAACCTAATCTAACCTAACCTAAGCTAACCTAACCTAACCTAACCTAAACTAACCTAACATCACTCCCAGGTATAAGTTAGGTTAGTAATCGGGTAAACATAATCGGGGGTGTCTAATCTTCAGGTGATCTAGGAAAAGTTCAGTAGTCTCGGCAATGTCACGTGACTTCGATGTAAGAATTCACACTCACATGATTCGTGTTTCAGCCCGGTTGTGTGTGTGTGTGTGTGTGTGTGTGTGTGTGTAGACCGGAAACTGTTGCCACACAATGAGGACACTTACATCACGTGCTTTAGACTTATCTGTAATCACTGGTAGTGTGCTTGTTGACGCGCGCTCTCTCTCTCTCTCTCTCTCCCTTGTCTCTTTTTCTGGCCTTTTCTATCTTTCTTTCTTTCTGTCTGTCTGTCTCTATCTGGCTCCCTCTCTTTCTTTCTGTCTGTTCGTCTCTATCATAACCAGCTAATTTGTTATTGATCTCAGCTGACCACATGAACCCTCCTAGGCTCTCATAAGATGATATAATATTGTTATCGTGTCTTAGATAACGATTAACATCTGCCGCTTGTTATCTTAGCTCATTATCTCTCACCCTCAGGCAGCTGAAACAGATTTTATGTTTGAAAGGAAGGGTGAGAACACTGACAAATCTTTTAACATTCTTTTCAGCTTTTTTCGAATCAGTGGACGACGGACACGATTATCATGTAATATATCTCAACTTTAGCAAAGCCTTCGACAGAGTCCCCCATGAAAGACTAATACGAAAAGTGGAGGCTCATGGCATTGGAGGAAATATTCTAAATTGGATTAGGGCGGATACGGGACAGGAAACAGCGAGTAAGCATTAATGGCACTATTGGGGTATTGTCACTAGTGGAGTACCCCAAGGCTCAGTATTTGGACCATTATTATTTATTTATTATATACATAAACGACATAGATATCGGAATAGACAGCAACATAAGTAACTTTGCTGATGTCACTAAAATAGGGCGTGTAATTAAATCTGACGAAGACTCCACAAAAACCAGGAAGATCTAAAATAAAAAATCGCATTGTCTGAAAATGGCAGATAACATTTAATGTGGACAAATGTAAAGTACTCAGTATAGGAGATGTAAACAAAGAAACCAGATACCAGATGAACAATGTTGTTATAGAAAAATCCGACTGTGAGAAAGATTTTGAGTAATGATAAGTAGGAATTTTAAACCAAGTAAACAATGTGTATTTGCTCGTAAATAAAGGGCAACAAAGTACTTGGGTTCATACAAAGGAGTGTTAGTTACAAGACTAGCGAGATCGTCCTAGAAATTTATATCTTGCGCGTGTGAGACCTCACTTGGATTACGGTTCAGTGCTCTCAATACCATTACAGAATGGATATAGAATTCAAAGGAGAATGACAAGACTAATCCCGTTTAGAACCTTAAGTACAGAGACAGGTTAAAGCATCCCAATTTGCACCTCGAGACGTAGAGGAGGGGCGATATGATCGAGGTGTATAACAAAAGTCAAGGGCTGAACAAATGTGATATAGCAAAGGTACTCAAACTATAAACCAGGAGCGAACTCGTAACAATGGTTTTAAATTAGGCAGATTTAGATTTACACGAGATAGGTAAACATTGGTTTGGAAATAGAGTAGTGGATGAATGGAACAAGTTACCAAACATCATCATTAACTGGAACACGCTGGATAGCTTCAAACATAAGTCTCGGCTATATGAGCGATAGAGGTTGGGTGTAAACGAACTGCCTAGTATGGACCAATAGACCCGCTGCAGTTTCCTCCATTCTTATGTTCTTGGTGTAAGTCCCTCACCTCAAACATACAACCTATATATCTATAATCGTATATTTGTGAGTATATCTCCATATTTGCAACAGTGACTATTTTTATAATTTTGGTATAATTTGGGTCTAGTTTGGGTATAGTTTTAGGACTAATTTGGGGTATAATTTTTGTATAATTTTCTAAGTCAAATGTTTCGTTGGATATATTTAATTATAGCGATGAAGGAAATGCATGATGTAATCTTTTGCATTATTAATAAGGAAAATGAAAATAAAAAATAAAGGAATAAAGGGGAGGAGGAAGGGAAGGAGGAGAAGGAGAGGAGGAAGGAGGAGGAGGAGAAAAGAAAGAGAAGGAGGGGAAGAAGAGGGAAGAGGAGGAGGAGGAGAAAAGAGAGAAGGAGGGAAGAGGGGAAGTGGAGGAGGAGGAGGAGGAGGAGGAGGAGGAAGAAAGCAGGGAGGGAACAGGGGGGAGAATGGAAGAGGTAGGGAAGGAGGAGGAGAGGAAAGAAGAAGGAGGGAAGAAGAGGGAAGAAGAGGAGGAAGAGAGAGAAGGGAGACTGAAGAGGTAGAGGTAATGGGAGTGAAAAGAAGAAGAAGGAAGGGAGGGGCAGAGGTGAAGGGAGGGGGGTGAAGGGGATACTCAAAGCTGGTCTGCCAACGTTGCCAGATAACGCCCTGTGGCCACTGACAGACAAGACAACGTTTTCTCATTTCCTGGCCAGTGTGAACCCAGAGGTAGCAACAGTGTGTGTGAGGAGGGAGGAGGAAGGGAGGAGGAGGGAGGAGGAGGTGTCAGCAAGGGTCAGAGGCAGGAGTTGGTAATAGAGTGTGTGTGGGAGGAGAATAAGAAGAATAAGAGAAGAGAAACAGGAGAGGAGTAAGGAGGAAGGAAGAGTAGGAAGAAGAGGAAAAGAAAAAAAAGAAAGAAAGAAAGAAGAACGGATTTTTGGAAGGAGGAGAAAAAAGGAGGAAAAGAGGCAGAAGGAGGGGGATGGTAAGGAGAAAGGAGACGATGAGGAGAACAGAGAGAGAGCGATAAGGGCCGTACCCAGACTGTGATTGAGTTCCTGACTATTTAAGACACAAAGGCGCAAAAGATGTTGTCGCATAAAAGAAAAAATATCCCGCCAAAAATAGATTTCTCACCACTAACAGATTTCCGCCAAAATAAATTTCCCGCCAAAACCGATTTCCGCCAAAAAAAATCACCCCCAAAAAAAATAATAATAATCCCGGTTGTTGTAGATGGTTCTTAAGCCGACACTTCATCGGGAGAGTGGAAGTCTACGTCAGGAAGACCAGACCGCCTTCAGGAGAGAGAGAGTTAGATCAAGAGAATGGTAGAATGTTAAAGAGAGATTCTGATCATTTCCGTACGTGGCAGCACTTGTGTTGGTGATGAAGTGTGGCCTCAGCCCAGCCTCCGCCCTCATCAATGTGTTGTGAATAGTCACCGCTCTCTCTCTCTCTCTCTCTCTCTCTCTCTCTCTCTCTTTGATATGTCCTCCCATCTCTCCTTCACCTCCTGTCTCTCTCCCTCTCTATTCCTCCTTTCCTCATTTCCAATCTCTGTGTCCCTTCCCCCTCCTCCGTCTTCCTCATCCCCCATATCTCACTCCCCTCTCCCGTATCCATTCCCTCTCCTCCTCTCTTCCACCATTCCTTACAGACACCCCCCCTCCCAATCCCTTCACCCTTTCTTCCTTTACCCCTTCCTCCCTCTCCCCTACCCCTTCCTCCTCTCCCCCCTACCCCTTCCTCCCTCTCCCCTAGTTCCTTCCTCCCCTCCCCCAACTCCTCCCTCTCCCTCCTTTCACCCCCCTCCTCTTCTAACCTCCCATCACCTTCCATCACCTAGTCCCCTACTGAAGAGCTATTTAAACTTCCCCCTCTCTAAAAGTGCCCAGGTAACAGTAATTAACGGATGAACGCTAAAAAAATATCAAAACTTTGAACAAATAAAAAGTATTAAGTTGTATTTTCTTTAACATTGGCGGCGAAAACTTTTGTTCTTAGTTATAAAAATAATAGACTGGCAACTCATTCTCTCTTGTTTATTTGTTTATTTGTGTTTGTGTGTTTGTTTGTGTGTTTTGTTTGTGTGTTTGTTTGTGTGTTTGTTTGTTTGTGTGTTTGTTTGGTATGAGAGGAACATGGAGGTGATGATGATGTATGAAATGATAAACAAACAGAAAATATCTCGTACACACACACACACACACAAACGGAAACCAATAACCACCTTTCGCTTCATCCCATGCTTCGTGAACTCCTGGTCCCCATTATGAAGAAGAAGAAGAAGACTCCCTTCCCTCAGAATACAGACAGACAGAAACACCCTGGCCCTGGCCCTGGCCCTGGCCCTGGCCCTCTCTGCTCATTATAACAACTGGTCCAGTAAACGAAGGTAATAATTCTGTCAACTTGTTGTGGTAGTAAAGGCAAGTCAGGGGCGTGTGAGGCGAGCCAGCGGCGTGTGAGGGCGAGCCAGGCGTGTGAGGCAAGCCAGGGGCGTGTGGGGAGGCGAAGCCAGGGGCGTGTGAGGCGAGCCATTGGCGTGTGAGGCAAGCCAGCGGCGTGTGAGGCAAGCCAGGGGCGTGTGAGGCGAAGCCAGGGGCGTGTGAGACAGTGAGTGTTCAGGTGGATGGC